GGAAAAAATATAATAACAAAGCGGATTATTCCCAGTTTTCATTGCTTCGACACATATTTAAGACACTGTGTGCTGATTGCTTCAATACTTACATTAATTCCATCGAAGAAGGACTTAAAAAGCACATTAAATTATTTTGGTCCTTTGTTAATAATCGAAAAGGTAAAAGCGGAATACCTAACGTAATGACTTATAAAAATAAAAAATCTGATACACCGGAGGGTATCTGTGAATTATTTTCTGAATTTTTCAGCTCCGTATATGAAAATAGACAGCAGTTACAGCAAGAGAATTATAGTAGCCAGTCTACTAATCCCAATTCTGAGGTTATTTCAAATATCTCCTTTTCGGAGGATAGCATAGTCAAAGAGCTTATATTACTCGATATTACCAAGGGACCTGGACCTGACAGCCTTCCACCATTTTTTCTCAAACACTCTGCCGCAGCTATTAGTGTTCCCTTGTGTCTTATATTTAACCAATGTCTTAGTGAAGGGACTGTGCCCCAGATATGGAAGAACGCTAATATAACACCAGTTTATAAGAGTGGGTGCAAAAACGACGTTTCTAACTACCGCTCTATATCTTTGCGATCAACAATACCGAAGGTTCTTGAGAGGTTAATACATAAGCAAATTTATCCTATATTACATAACATCATCGATCGACAACAACTAACCTTGTTCTTTACACAAATTATCTTTTTCGCTGCATGGATAATCGTCTGCAAGTAGATGCAATTTACACTGATTACTCTAAGGCCTTTGATAAGGTTGATCATAATATACTTGTAGCGAAATTAGCGTTTAATGGAATACGAGGAAACTTGTTAAAATGGTTTTCATCATATGTTCTAAACAGATCTCAACGGGTTGTGATTAATGGTTTCTCATCCAATATCATAAATATCAGTTCAGGCGTACCGCAAGGTTCTATTCTTGGGCCTTTGCTTTTTATATTATTTGTAAACGATATCGGTGATTGTTTCCGTTTTACTAACTTTCTCTTAAACCTTACCATTTATCACAGTGTCAAAAGTGTCGAAGATTGTGACAAAATACAACAAGACCTAAATCGCTTGGAAGGCTACTGTATAAAAAATAAACTTCACTTAAGTACATCAAAATGCAAACATATCACTTTCACAAAAAAATTAACATTATTAAATACACTTATAAACTAAACTGTGTTTCGTTGAAATCGGTATCTTTAATCAGGGATCTAGGATTGTATTTAGACTCTAAACTACACTTTGATGAACACGTAACGCACATAACCAATAAAGCCTTTCAGCTTTATGGTTTTGTAATGCGGAAATGTTCTTCCTTCAATCATCCCACCACATTTTTAACTTTATATAAATCTCTAATAAGATCACAGGTTGAATATGCATCAGTTATATGGAGTCCATATATAGTAAATATAGTTTACAGTTGGAGCGTGTTCAACGAAAATTTTTAAAATCTACAATGTACAAATGCTTTAAAAGTAATTGTAATGAATGTTATGAACTTTTATTAAGAAAATTTAGTGTTCTTTCTTTAGAATCGAGAAGGATGCTGGATGATGGATCAAACTTTGCTTTACAAAATCTGCCATAACGAATTTGATTGTAATGACCTCACCAATCAAATATACATTTGTATACCTAGTCGCTCGAATCGTATTCGTGAAATACATTCACATCAAATTTTCGCTCCAAAACCAAGTAAAACAAATGCAGGTGCACGTGCACCTCTAAATCGTATAATGGAATTATACAACAACAAATTTAATGACATAGATATCTTTGGATTAACTTCTTCTAGATATAAAAAAAGCTGTGTATGAGGTTCTATCTGAATTTGATGCAAGTTAATGTAATTGCTTAATTAGGTTAAATTTAATTTTTCACATCTGTGTGTTATCTATATATGTGTATGTTTGTATATATGTGTGTATGTATATGCGTGCACATGTACATGCATATGTGTAAATTAGCTTGTTTTTCTCTGTATTTATTGGTGAACGGATCGTTTTTAATAGAACATTAAATTTAAATTTTTAATTGTTACGTACATATACCCAGTGGTAATATGTGGATAACGGTGTTGGTTGTATGATTATTAAGCTTAAATATAGTATTGTGTTTAATAATAAGATTATATTGTACAATTGTTTGTTATTCCTAATAAAGAGAAAAAAAAGAAAAAAAAGTTTCAGAAGTTACTCTTGACAGACGGGCTTTCAACCCGGGTTAGGGTCACTGGCGTTCGCAGCATGTTGTAGTCCCTAACATAGCTGTATTCCCAAACCCATTACACTAACACTCAACGTGGGACCTCATCACGCCACTGAGCTCGGCAATGTGTACAGCATCCGAAAGGAAGGCCCTGAGGACTTTTTGACCATATTCAGTCTTTTCTATATTGAATCTTATACTCCCCTTGTGAAGTTGTATTGATTTGGTCCTTAAAGCTCATCTTTACCTTATGTCAGACGTATTTAAAATCGAAACTACAGGATGTGCAAATCAACTGGAGCAATCATCTAATGCCTATTGGCATAGATTCATGGATAATTGGGAGTTACCCGGTTTCCCAAAACAAATGCATAGCTCAATCTCTTGATCAGTCTTCTATCATTCAAAATAATCAGTTTAGACCTGGCATATTATCAATAAACACTCGGTGCTTTCGGTACTCATTTTATGCAATCACAAACTGACTCATTTAAACTCTATTATCTGAACACTTTGGTTAAAAACGAAAAGCATTCTGATGTGACTTTATTTATTTATTTATTTATTTTATTCTTTATTGCATCCTTAAACAAAAGAATACAAAGGGCGGACTTAATGCCTTGAGGCATTCTCTACCAGTCAACCCATGGAGTGGTGAGAATTTGATGTAGGTGTGGCAATAAGAGAACAATATACAAATGATAATTAATGTAGTTAATTAAAATATATACAAACTACTAATAAATAAACTATACATATATGGTCTATCCTTACATATATACAAATATATAAATAAATGGATATACATACAAGTATATATATATATATTTAAATACATACATAATTAGTATATACAAATGACTATGAATATATACGTCTGTTTGGCAATACATATTAAATAGATGAGTCAAGTAAAATGCATTGTCTTTAAGAAATGATCACGGACCAACTTTTTAAAAGTGTACATGATGACTTTAGCAATACAAAATATTTTTTTTTCTTTTGTGAGAGTCTTTACTGATACAGGTATTAAGTAAAAAATATGTTCAGGGTCACTTTTTAAAAATCTATACATTTAAAAAAAGATTTTGCAGTTCTATCTTGGGCTCATATACACTAAAAGCTTTATATATTTTTGACATTTGCAACCATGATTGTTCAAAAAATTCTCATTTATAGCAGCTTTATAAATACGCTACATTGATAATCGAAACACACAACACCTCTTCATTGCAATTGTCTTTGTAGTATGTATACAATTGAATTTTCTGCGCAAAGATAAATAACTAAATGTCTATTCTTGACCCATTTGAAAGATTTTGAATTCCAGTGATGAGACACCGGACTTCTAGCTCGGAGGTAGCGGGTTAAGTTTCCACCAAGGCTGTTTTGGGTAGGTCTCCTGAAAAGTGGGATGATTGTAGGCATCAACCATCGTTAGAAGGGCCAGCATATAAAACAGTTAACTCGTATATATCCATGAAACTATGTTCATAGGCCATAGGGATCAAGCAGTTGATTTACACATCCTATATTTTAATGTCTCTAACATAAGGAGGAGATATGGGTTAAAATCTCAAAACAGGACACTTTCACAAGGGGAGTAAAAGATTCAATATATAAATGACTGGACATGTTGAGTAGTCCTCAGGACCTTCCTTTCGATGCTGTACATTGCGGAGCTCAGTGGCGTTCTGAGGACCGAAGGTGAGTGGTAATGTAAAGAGTGTAAGAATAGCTATGTCAGGGATAAAAACTTGTAGCGTGCCCTAAGTGGCAAAAAATTAGAAACATTTAAATTCTATTTTAAGATTAGAAATATTGTTTGGATTGAAGGAAAGAAAGATACTCAGATCCGTGATAGACTTATACCTCTGCACTTTTAAAGATTTTATTCGAATGAACATCATCATGGAGTTGCTTAGAGAAAAATTGCAATGTAATTACATAAATCTTTCCTTCGGGCAATATCGAGGCAAGAAGAACTCACGAACCTTTTCCTGTGATCGTGAAGATCTTTGAGTCCTAATTTCTCTACATATTATTGCAGGGATGGTTCGGGAAAATCCTTCAAAATTGCTACTAGAATTCTATCATCATACTATGATTATAATAGAGCGATTTTGATGTTTTTTGCATATTTCTCGTTAAAACGTATGTTCACCGATTAAAAAGGAATACAACCTAATTCATCTGATTTCTTTCCTAATATGTTAGAATGATATTTTTGTAAGGCCTCATGCAATCTCGCTTATCAACTACTACATTGGCGTGCTGGATCTAGAACCAGAAATATATTAAAAAAATTGACGATGAGGTCAGGTTTATGTTAGTACACAACGGAATAAATTTTTAACCTGCTTGTAAAGATCGACTCTACCTACCCCGTGATGAGTTGGGTAGAGGTCTTGTAAGCATTGAGCACCGTAGCGAAGTAATGCTCCTTAAATTACGAGAGGACTTTCTTAATAGTAGACTAGTATATAAAAAAAAGAGCTGCAATCCTAAAAATCCAAGAAGAAGACAGGACCCACTTTTGGCTTATAAGAAAGTGCTGCGAGGAAAAATATAAAACTTCGAGAAAATTAGATGAGTCCGTGCTGTCTCTAGCCCAAAAGGCCACCCTGTACAACAACCTAAAAAATAAAAAACTTCAGCAAAAGTTGTTGAGGGGTGTTTCTAACGATAAAGTATCTGTAAGAAACTCTTCGATTTGGTTAAGCACGGAAACATCCCCGCTAAAAGAGAAACCGCTTTATGTTTCCTACAAGACAGAAATATGTTCTTGGGCGAGTTTAAGAAATGTCCTCACTGTGGAGAAGCCTCTAAAACTGTTGATCACCTAGCTTCAAGGTGCAAAAAAATGCTCGGTACTGATTACACTCGGAGGCACAACGAACTACTTAAATGCATACATCTCCTGCTGTGTAATAAGTACGGTGTCAGATCCAATAAGAAGCTCCGAAATCACTTAGTACAAGAAATCGTATCAAACAAGTACGTCGAGATCCGAGTAGATACTTTCGTTAAAACCGACATCAAGATCAAGCACAATCGTCCAGATCTTGTTGTTATAGATAAGAGAAAGAAGGAAATCTTGATCGTTGAAGTCGGAATAACATCGGCAGAGAATCTACAGCAGGTTGAGACCGAAAAGTTGAGAAAATGCGATATTCTTGCAAACGAGCTTTCACAGATATACAGGTACTCTGCAGTAATTATTCCCTATGTACTAACGTGGGATGGTGTGGTAACAAACTACCACGATATATACAGAAGGAAGTTTGAGATATCCGACCGAATTGAGGCGTATATCCAATCTATTGTCTTGAAAAAGACTCTTGAAAGCATCTCCTTTGAATTCAGAAGAAATGGGAGGCTGGAGGAATTTCCAGACGATGAGAGAAAGGATTGCCTAAAGCCAAATTTGAGGAGTTCGGTGTCGGAAGACCTTATTATATCTATCTGAATAGTAAAATATCAATAGCTTCATAATAAAATTTACATTTAAGGCCTCAGACTACAATATACTACTATATCACGAAATAAGAGCAAATTCATATTTATTCCAGAAGATATGTTCTTTATATCCAGACACTCATCCCAGAGAAATTTAAAGATCTATATCAAAGTTATCTCTAAATCTTGTCCTGTAAGTATTGGCATCTATATACAATACATTTTGAATCCGATTGTCAATGCTTCCCCCGTAATTTGTTCTGGTTAGGGGTAAACAGAAGACATAACGGTGTTGTCAAGAAAATAGCAAAGGATCCTTCTGATATATATGCAACCCTTTGAGCAAGCATTGTTCTGATAGATTTTAGAATGGATCTTTTAATTCCATTATAAATGTCTTTCTAAAGGATGCTATTCGCTTTTGACAAGATATGTGGGGGAATCTTGGCCCTAAGACAAGATATATTATAGATTTCTAATTTAAAATTTCATCTACATGATCACTACATTGTGTTATACCTGAAAGGAACATTAATTGTGGCTGATCAATTAAAAAGCAATTTCTGATAAATGATTCTTGGCAGTTTTAGGTTTTTCTTGACTATCTCGAAAGAGTATGTGTCTGATAAACTTTAGACCACTAATTTGAAAACAATCATGTCCCAAATGGTGTTTCAAGAGGATCAAATTATAATTCTGCATATTAAATGCACTCAAAGCGTAATCGGTTTATTAATTAGTCACGTAAGAACTTTGAGGAATTTGTTGTCAAAGCAAAAAAACTACTGTTAGTAGGTATTTGTAGTGTATCAGGGTGTCAATGGCGAACCAAATAGCTTAAAATAAAGATTCATGTTATTCCAAGATCAAAAAATCTAAACATCAACCAACAATTATAACAATCGTTCAATTACCCTAGAAAAGCTCCTGATTGTCTAATAGGAGCAATCAAAGTAAATATAAATTTAAATTCTGAACATTATTGCAATCATATGTTTAGTGCGTGCAGTATTATTTTTTCAACTCAAACGTGGGTGTAATTTTTTTATTTTTGGCCAATAACGGAACATACCTCTAAAACATGCTGTGAACTCTTGAGACACTCCCCTAGTTAATTGATACTCCCTATAAGAGCAGTTTCTGTGACATTTATCTATGGATTAAGATGTTGGTTGTCTAAAGGCGAAGGGCACCTGGAATCTATGCCACATGTGAGGTACGGTCGCGCTGAGGTCACAAGATGAGGGGGCTTTGGTGTGAACAACTTTCACAGACTGACACACCAAGTCTCTATGTAGATTTCTCCCCACCTTCAACTAAAAATATCACTCAACATATGAGAAGAATGTTTATAAGCTGCAAGTAATTGAAAAACTGACGATTCTCTTGAAGAAGACCCACTTTTTTCCAGTACGTTTTTGTATAATAAAGCTATATAAAGAATCTCTAGTTTCTACAATTTTCATACCTTTTCATCTGGACAGTTACATCATTTGCCTCCCCTTAAAACAACTATATACAGATACAAGAGAAATTAATACCCCCTCTTCCTTTTCTCAATTATTGGAATACATAAAACAAGATTTTTTTGAATTACCAAATGGATCTTATATGCTACTATTGAAAGAGTTTTCAGCACAATCTTTAGTTGTTCTTTTTGATCCCACTTTATCTCCAAATTCTGCCACATGACTTTTCTCAAAGTTTATATGCATGGAACCTTTAAATCAGCTCCTAATGAATTTTTTCAATTAAACATTATTCATAATTAATTCCTTGGTCAATGATTTCCCCTTTTTACCGGTTTCTCAGCAGTAAGACATAAGAAACAAATCTTTTTCTTTCTAGATCGATAAAAACGGTGTTGAATCGATACAATATACTTTTAAGTTCAATGTTGCTCAAATTGACTTTTAATATGCTGTTTTAAACGTATTAAGATCAAAATTTCCTTCAGCAACAATTAAAGGTTGTTTCTTTCACTTTGGACAGGCAGTTTAAGAAAAGTAGTAAGTTTAGATCTTACTAGAAAATTTGATGAAGACACAAATTTCAGAGAAAGTGTTGAAATGCTTAAATCTTTGGGATTAAACCCAATAGATTTTGTTGAAGAGGGTTTACATTTGGTCAAAGAACATTGTTTGACTTCGACTGCAGAGATTGTGCAATTCCTTAATTGATTTGAGGACACCTGGCTAAATAATACCTGAGACATTTTCGACAGACGAGTTTGGGCTTAAATTAATTACGGCAAGGGCATACACTAAAAAAATCATTGTCATAATGAGTAAGCCTCACCCAAACTTCTATGACCTAAGTGAAAACACAGATCTCTTTTTAGATCTTAAGCACGATCGAATTTGAGAGGCTGACTAATGGAGAGGACCCAAAGTCAGGAGGGCGAATCTGTCGAACGAGATCCAAGAATAGCCATTTTAACTGAAATATTTTCATTAAGACAAATAACTTCGAAATTTCCTTATAAGTCTTTCTAAATCTATTAAACTACATATTTGAACACCTACTGCTTTTGTCTATTTAAGCCTTTTTTTAAAGCTTTTTACATCAACAAATATTGACACTCATATTTCGCTTTTTTAAGGATATTAAAAGTAATTACTTAATTTTAATATTTAGTTTTAACAAAGAAAGAGTCACAATTGGTCCTACTCCATAAATTAAATAAATGATAAAGATTATATAAATGATATTACTATTTTTACAAAAAAAAAAACAATTATCTGAGGCGAAAAGCCTTCACTCTATCAAAAAATGTCTTACGTAAAACACCTTCATATCTGACGAATTTACATGGTCCTGTAAAAAAGCTTTGTAGGATGTTTCCATAATCTGAACAAGTGTAGTTATTTTTCGATTACGCGTAAAAATCTGCGCTTAATACACAGGAGTCGCCTCCCTCGAGAACCGTGTCTGAAAGACGTGACGACAACACCAACAGATAACAACCGACAACACCGAAGAATCGTGTCTATAGAAAGGCTGCATTACGCTGCATTGATAAATTAAAAGAGATGTAAAGATATTTTATGGTTTGTTTTCATACATCACACTCTTTATGTCTGTTTATCTGATGTATTATATTGGCATCTCGTTCGTATAAATACGTATATAATATATATTATGTAACCAGTTACTGTACCATCATTCATCAACCATGCTTAGTGAATTTAACGGTGTTTCCTTTACACTGTAGGTTATTATTTTTTTACTTAAGAAAATGGCATGTCTTTCGTTTGTTTGAGTTAGATTATTTAAAATATAGGGGGAAAGTGTTATGTCGGTACTTCGATAATAAATGTGATGTGAGTGGAGTAGAGTTTTCAATAAACAGTCGTTACCAGATCTCTGCCTTTTATTGAGGTGCACATTACACCCCCGCACTTAACCTTAGATTTCTTAGTAAATTTTCAAAGTTAAATAACTTATTTTCATATAATTCGTTTTCTTATAATCGTATTTTCATAGAATTTTAAACTTTTTTAAATCTTCCATATTTCCGCTCCTTTCAGATTTATAAAGTCCGTATCATGTAGAAACCACCATCTACATTCAAATTTTATATATAAAACACACGGATCTCAAAAAATCGCTACTTACCTCAGCTAAGCCAAAAATGATGAAATAAAAACACCAATTAATCCATACGTCGACTGAAAATTGGTCTTTTCTGTTTAAATTTTCTTGTGATACAGTTAAGTTAATAGCCCCCCGTACCTAACCATAGTTTTCTTAGTAAATTTTCACCGCTAAATAACTTATTTTCGTATAATTCGTTTTCTTATAATTTTTAAACTTTTCAAAATCTTATACTTCTCTGCTACTTTTAGACTTATAAGTTCCGTATCATATAGAAATTGCCATCTAAACTCAAATTTGATAGATAAAACACACGAAACTCGAAAAATCGCTACTTACCTCAACCAAGCGAAAAATTTAGAAATAAATCACCAATGCATCCATATCTTGAATGAAAATTGGTCTTTTCTGTGTTAATTTTCATGTGATACAGTTGACGGAACTCGAAAAATCGCTACTTACCTCAACCAAGCGAAAAATTTAGAAATAAATCACCAATGCATCCATATCTTGAATGAAAATTGGTCTTTTCTGTGTTAATTTTCATGTGATACAGTTGTTAATTGCTTCCTGTACTTAACAATAGTTTTAGTCGTAAATTTTCACCGTTAAATGACTAATATCCATATAAATCGTTTTCTTATAACTGTATTTTCATAGAATTTTTAAACTACTTAAAATTTTCGATTTCTCCGCTCCTTTAGACTTATAAGGTCCGTATCATGTAGAAAGTGCCATCTGTACTGAAATTTGATAGATAAAACACACGAAACTCGAAAAAATTGCTACTTACCTCAACCAAGCGAAAAATTTAGAAATAAATCACCAATGCATCCATATCTTGAATGAAAATTGGTCTTTTCTGTGTAAAGGGGGACGCCCATTTTCGGCCATGGAACGCCCAACAATGTGCATTTGTTAAAAAATTATATCTTTATTTATGGTTATTAATCACGGTATTCATTTATCCTCAAACAATGGGAATATTTTTGCACAAATTAAAAGTACCGAAAAAGATAATAATAAAAATTAGGTAGATCATTATGTCATTAGTTTGTGAATAAAAAAATAGTGTTGCCAATCACAAAACACATTTAAAAAATCGATTCTCTTTTTCGATCGATTATTTACGGTGTCATCATTACAGTACTAATATAATTTTTAAATAATTATTATGTTATGATAATTAAACAAGCGAATTACTAGTTGATTTCCAATGAATTCTTTAGAGAGTAACAAAACGCTACGGCACAATTTTACTGTTAATCTTAACCGATCTTCTTTGAAAACAGATAAGAACTGTTATTCTTATATGTTTTCAAAGAAGATCTGTTAAGTTGTTCTTATCTGTTTATAACAATACATTTAAAATAGAATCATGTTATGATAATAAAACAAGTTAGTTTCTAGCTG